CACACACACACACACACACACACACACACCATACACACACACACACACACACACACACACCACACACACACACGGGATAGGGAGGCGAAGGCAGAGAGGAATTGGCGGGAGGAGATGGAGGGAGGAGGCGGATGGGAGGTGGCGGAGGCGGAGGAGAAGTGGCGGAGACGGGGAAGGAAAGAGAGCGAGGAGATGGCGGGGACAGGCAGAGGGGAGGTGGGCAGAGACGGAGTCACCTCGGAGTACAGCTTTGCAAGTCACAGGTCGAGGGCGCGAAGTCAGAGGCGGAGGGAGGCAGAGGGGAGGTGGGCGGAGACGGAGGGGAGGTGGGCAGAGACGGAGTCACCTCGGAGGACAGCGTTGCAGGTCACGGGTCGAGGGCACGAAGTCAGAGGCCGTTCGACGCGAGCAGGGCCATAGCGCCGCCGGCCCTGCAATGGGCCAATGGCCAGCAGGTGCCGGGGCAGTTCTTTTACGACGAGCCCTCTTTTCAACGTCCGCGACGATCCAGGCCGCCCGCGATCCTACCGGCCCGATGGCTCGGATCGTCCTGCGATCTTAAAGTCACGCGACGATCCAGGCCGTCCGGCGAGGCGGACGGTCTGGATCGCCGCGCGATCTTAGTCTTAAAGTCTTAAGATCGCACGGAAATCCAGGCCGTTGGCCGGTACGCCGCGCGCGGCCCGGATCGGCCAAATCTTGCGCGCCAATAGCAATTTCTATAAGTGTAGGGATAAAGATGCATTGCACCGGGCACAGTAAAAGCATAGACTACTAGACTGTGAAAATGAGACAGTTAATCAGTGGTGCTACGGTATAGGCTTGGTAATGCTTGCTCAGCAGGACACCCTTTATAGCATGAATCAGCTCAACAGATCAGATTTCTGATGACAGAATTTTTTTCTCTCAGCAGTCTCAAAAACAAAAAAGATCAACCTTTTACCCTTTCCACGGTAAGAAAGCCCGTAGTCATACCCATTCAAAAAATGAGAGTCACCGGTTCCAAATCTCTCCGATTCTCAACTTACACGCTCAGTAGAAAGGGTCAATTTCTTCGAGTTAACCAACGGCGATCATAGCAACCAAACCAACAGTGGGAATGGCCCAATCATAATGAACAGCCGGATAGACTGAGAATTAAAGAAGGCGGGGTCCAGATACGTTATTCCAGACGAGTTCGACTGAGTACACGCCCCTCATTCTCTAGAGGCATCAGACCGATCGCAACTGGAGCCTTGCCAGTTTAGGAGACCCACCCACATGCATGAATGACTAGAATTATAGGGGGTAGCTCCCATGCCTACTACAGTCCCCATGCTTCAGTCCACGCAACCCTAGTTGAAATATTGATGAAATGGCCCTACAACTATGAACATGCATGGCAGAGTTCTAGCATTCAGAGCATGCATGGCATCATTCTAGTATTCTAGCACTAACCACAGGACATAGACCTCCAGCTACTCTGATTCATATTACAATCGTATAAAACGAGTCATACACATTGTCATCATCAGGTCAACTTCAGTGGCACAGAGAGTGATAATGCCCTTGCATTGTACTCTACAATTGTCTAAAACATAGCACCTCGCTCCATTGCAGAACATTCTAAATGTATCTGGACCGCTGAGCCGTCCCCATACGTTCATTAAATCAGTCTGAATGTATCTGCTCCACTCTGCAGTCCAGTTACAGGTAGAATGTCAAGTAGTAGAGCGAGGCCCACAACCATACACATTCTGATTGTCGTGGTCAACCCTAATTCCACATAGAGTGCCAATGCCCTTGCATTGTACACAAAGGAGACCAGCAGGAGTAACTGTAAGTGAATATCATCAAGCTGCAACTGCAGTTCTTGCAGAGTCTTTGCAATCTGCATCCCCATCTTCCTTCCTCTATACCACACAGGCATGATAAATGCATACGTGGCAGATATAGCAATAATGCTCGTGCTTTGTGGAAGAAGACAGCGGGGATATGTACGCTCCAACTGGTGCTTATGCTACTGGCCAAGACTGCCCATGGGGTTGGGACTCGGCCGTTACGTGCATTCTGGGTCTAATGATACTGCACAGGAGAGCCTGCGGGATTTGCAATTGGATAGGAAAGAGAACCACCAAGTGGAACGAAAAGCAAGTCAATCAGGCCCACATGCCACAAAACATTTTTCTAGTCGTCTTGCTAGCAGTAGCGAGGCAGAGGGCTGGGGGTGGGTAGATGCACTCTGGCAAGCACCTCAACACTTTTCACCAAAAAACTTTCTTCGCGTGTCAGTGCTTTAAAGGTCCAGCAAGGCTATGGACATGATATCTCATCTTTCGGCTAGATAGGTTCTTTTACATTTCCTTGTTAGACAACCAAAAAACACTTAATTTTTCTCTTTCCTCCACCCTCGTAAAGGAACATTGACAAGTATGCTTTGCTGGAAGGAAGGTTCTCTTTGTTCTCTCATGGGAGCAATCTTGCTGTTCTTCATTCGTATGCGTAATGACGGCCAAGATCATATGCCAATGCCATACGGCCAAGAACCATAAGACAATGCATCAGAAGTCAGAGCAAAACACTTTGTTCCCCTCATCCCTTTCTTCTGCTTGATCAATTCATGCTGCTTCCTGATCCTCCAACAGTTAATCAGATCATCACTTCCATAGTTCAATTCAGGCCATGCCTTCTGCGACTTACACACTTGTAAAAAAACGAATCAATGAATGGCAAGAGGGGTGGTGGACTTGCACGCAGTAAAAGAGTGACTTGACTTTGTAGGTTCCCGGATCACATCGCGCTTCTCCTCCATAACACCTTACTTTGATTGACCAAAATACTTAGCTGTTCATGTCCACCTACTACTACTTATAACAACCCCACACAAAAATGAGGTTTCATTCTGTCTACGTCAAACGACGCAGCCCAATCGAAATTTGCAAACCTACTCCTCCTACCCAGTTGTTCCTTACCATCACATCCCAACTACCTAAGTTCCAGAATGTTCCAAAGAGTCCTGCCAACCCATTCGTTTAGCAAGACTACGAGAAATCTACCTGCATGCTAGATGACAACCTACTCCGTTTAGCAAGACTACAAGAAATCTACCTTCATGCTAGATGACAACCTACTCCATGAACTATGTTCCACAACTGAAGGCTCGTTCAACCTTCTTTGAACCATTGTCTCCTCTAAACCACCAGTCTGTGCTAGCCCTTCCCAATGAGCTCTGGTGCGTGAACCTAAAAAAACTGGACCGGTGCGGGTGCGAAATGCTAGGCACTGACAGCCTTTTCCGCTCGGTACGTCCGGTCCGCAATTTAGTGTTGTCGTAATCGGCATGTCAGAACAGCATAGCCAGGAAATGGGCTGGTGGTTTAAGCAACTACAACACCGAGTATCGCTACTCGCCCATGTCCATTGCACTCAGATCTTGCCACGGCAGGATGAAAAGGTTGCGACTTCCTTCCAAGATGTTGTTCACCATCAGACTGGCAAACACTTGGCTGCTGTGTTCCTGAAGATAACTCTCAGGGGACACGGAAGCTCTAGCAACCAAAGCTTGCATTTGAAAACCTGTGCGGTATATACATGATGTCCAGCAATCAGAACTAGCATGCAGTAAATGCCAACCTGCCAGGGTTCTAAATAGCTACTATACAGTGGCACACTATACTGCTCAGTAAATTTTTACTACGAATCTGGTGCAGCTATGCCAACCCTGTGTTCAGTCCAAGGGAAGAACACTTCCCCATTCTGTCCTTTGGGGGGAGAGGGTTGGAGGGGAGCAGCTGGGGAGAGGGGGAGGTGAGAGGAAGGTGAGACAGAGCACAGCCTCACAGGGAGTGGGAGGAAGGCGGGACATAGCGCAGCCTTGGAGATAGTGGGAGGGAGTGGGAGGGAGTGGGAGGGAGTGGTAGGGAGTGGAAGGAAAGTGGGAGGGAGTGTGACAAAGGTGGGGCAGAGCACAGTTAATCCTCCACTGTAAGATGAAACAATACAATGGATCACTCCCACATCCTACCTCCCACCGCACCTGGAGATCCCAAACTCGGAATGGGGGAGTCCCTGTGTTAGTCATTTATGTTCTGCATTCTAATTTCCTTGAATAAGATGTATTCAAGGGCTCGCACCGAGCCGCCCAGCTGGACCTCTCTCGCTCAGGAGGACCCAGTGCGCCGGGCCGGTTCACCACCGGGCGGCCCCAGCACATTTCCAATGGGGGCTGGTATCAGCCCGAAAAAGGCTGGAGCGGCCTCCTGCCGCCTCCATGAGGTCACCTGCTCAAAACAAAAACGAAAGGGGACCACCTGAAAAAGGCCGGAGTGGCCTCCTGCTGCCTTCATGAGGTCACCTACTCAAAACAAAAAAAGGGGGCCTATGGGCCCCCGTTTTCCATGAAAAACCAGCGGCTGATATAGGCAGCCAATCCTGGAGTCCTCTCGGGCGAATGGGCCACTCCGCCAGGTCAGTCCACCTCCGGGCGCCCCAGCGCATTTCCACTGGGGGCCGGTACCCGTCCAAAAAAGGCCAGAGCGACCCCCTGCCACCTCCATGAGGTCGCCTGAGCTGCCGATTTTACCCATTTTGACAGGGAGTTCGGTGTTAGAAATTAAACGGCGAACACCCCCCCCCCCCCCCCCCTCTTCTGCCCTTGGTCCTGCCACATTGCAGTCGGTCAGTCTGCAGCAGATCATCAGCATCGCATTCCATTGCATCGTCACCATTGCCCAGGGTTGTCTCATGCCAGCCGCATCGCGCTGCGTGAGGTGGCCACCATTTTCTCCTTCTTCTTCTTCATCTTCTTCTTCTTCTTCTTCACAGCTTTCCCTCCACCATCACTTAGCTCGCCCTCGTCCATGGCCCTTCCCCCTCGTGCTTCCCTTTCGCCCTTCCCCATTCCCCATTCCCCTCCCGTTCACAGCAATACTAACGTGCAGATCGTTTGTCAGACTTGGGCATAGGCATGAAAGACTGAATTGTGATCCCCCCTCATGCTCTCCCCTCCCCCCTCGCGCTGTCCCCTCGCCCCCGCCGTCCTCCCT